TGCCCGCACTTCTCGCGTATCTGTCAGAAAACTTGCCTGCTTGCTTTTTTGAGTCAAAGTTACTAGAAACTGTGCTATCGAATGTTGCATGACTCAGGCTCCAGTCTATAAAACTCGCCTAGTTACGAGCCTACGAAAACACGTTCTCATGAATTTTGCCCAAAATGTAAAGATCGCAAATTTCGTCGAGAAAACTTACTGCCTAGCGTATACCTATTATATCTCACTATATTATGACATTTCTATACACTAGATTATGCGTCTCGCCGAGCTGAATCGATGTCCTCGAATTCAGAATTCGTCCATTCTGAAACGAGATATGGCGATGCGACGCGCATTCCGACGGACTCTAGTGATATTTGGCGCACTTCGCTGCTCTCCGGCAGACTCCAGTGGGGTATGGCGCACTCTGCCGCACTCCGGCGCACTGCGCTGCACTCTAGCAGACTGCGTCGCACTTCGGCGGAGTGCGCCGCAGTCCGGCGACTTCTTTGGCGAATTATGAGCGGTATTGTATACTTACATGCTGAGTTCACTATGCATAACTTCTGTGGTTATAGAGATACTCTTCTTAGCAATTAATGCTTAAGTGGAGAAAGTGTAGGCTGCATAATGCCGACTCAAAAAGGATATTTGACCTTTATCAGTTTTTTAAGTTCCTCATAATTCTTTGTATACAAAACATTTTTGAAGGCATAAACGAAATACTTTTCTCATGTCGGCTTGAATTGGAAGATTAGTTGCATTACTACGCACATCAGCATAAAAGTGCAAAAATCTTGAAAGCAAATCCACTTAGCGATTATCAGTAAATTAGGTCAAAGTTAAAAACTGCAAACTTCAAACGGGCTAATTGCTCTATTGAGCAAAGTAGTCTTATTCCTTGCGGCACGAGCTGGTGAAACTGCCGACAACGTACTCGAATTTATTCAAAAGATCAAAGAGCCAGATTGTTCTGGACTATCACGATCTCTGCGCTTGCCGCAATTATGAATATAGCTAGACAGCTATTACTTTCAAATCCTACCTCATGTGATTGATTTGCTTTGCTTAAATTGCCTTTTTTCAAGTTCATGTGTGTTCTTATCAAAAGTGTTGCTAAACGGAGCTGATACGACAATTGAATTAGGCCAAAAATGTTTTTTTCCAAAAATTCGAAGCATTTTTGTGCCTTAATTGCTATCCAAGCGGATTTTCTAAGCAATATACTATACGATTTGAGGGAGCAACTTTTTTACATGATCTATTCTGTATTTTCGAAGCAGCCCTAACCCGTTAGATAACCTCGAAAAGCGAATTTTATGCGGAGCAAATCTGGCAATTTTTGGCACTTGCATTTTTTGCATCAAGCCTGGACGACGTCTTGATCTTGCTATCTTCCACACTTATGTTAAGCTAGCTGTTTAAGCAAAAGTATGTTCTGATTTCGAACACTAAGTACATATAAATCAACATGATAATCCAACTATCGAGGTTATATTAGCAAATAGCTTTGTCTGGGTGCAGATGACTATATACAGACCCCGCGTCTCTTTGCAGAAAGCTAATTACTATAAGCACCATGGTTACATTGATAATGATCTTCATTAATCATAACAATTTCAAATGAAAAATTTTCAATCGTAGTTTTCATGTATGGAGCGCTGCTGTCACCGAAAATGACGGTTTTTGCTTTTTGGAAATTTGTATTTGGCGAAGTAAAACAAATGTTATGATTGTTTCAAAAGCAAAGAAATGAACTTTGCAAACCAGGAATAGCTTTTTCAAAAAAAAAAGTATTACTATTGCTTCGTAAAACAGACCTGCAGTAACCCGCAATTAAAATATAAACGCTACATACGCAAAAATTCTACTACCCTAATTTCACACGTACAAGGCGCGGGGTGGTCCTAGCTTTCATCGCAGACTTTAAAACGCAGCACGGTATGGGGTTCCTTTGGTTGCGAAGTCCTTTGCCGTGTTCGGGCTGGTCGATGAAAGCTAGGACCACCCCGCGCCTTGTACGCGTGAAATTAGGGTAGTAATATAACTGGTATTGGAAATGGCTTTCATATTGACCAGAACTCCATTTCGGACCTTCAAAGCGAGAGCCTAATCTGTTCTGACGTCTATCTAAAAACTCTGGTAATCTTCATTTTCATCGAGCTGCTCAGCCGCCCCAACGTGTTTTAAGAAGCGATCCTTATGCCGCACGATTCGTCAGGCAAAACGCAGCACGGTATGGGGTTCCTTTGGTTGCGAAGTCCTTTGCCGTGTTCGGGCTGGTCGATGAAAGCTAGGACCACCCCGCGCCTTGTACGCGTGAAATTAGGGTAGTAATATAACTGGTATTGGAAATGGCTTTCATATTGACCAGAACTCCATTTCGGACCTTCAAAGCGAGAGCCTAATCTGTTCTGACGTCTATCTAAAAACTCTGGTAATCTTCATTTTTGAGATAATTCCAAATGATGAAAATTAAACCATGATCACCAAAGTTCTCAACTAACCGGACTGTCATCAGGTTCCTTGAATTTAATTTCCGAAAATTACTCAACGAATAGATCAAACTGCAAAAGAATGCCATTTTTGGAACTTTTGACTCTGCCATCAACTGCCAGTGCTTGGGATGGGTGCTTGAATTACTCTGCTCAATGACTTTAGGTTGGAATAAATTCTCAAAACTTGCATCCGACTATAAATGGTTATTTCCGAAGATGGGAAGAAGTAAGCGTGTGGTGCTCATGCCGATTTCATTTGTAGTTTCCAACTGGTGTGCTCAAAGTCCCAACCATTAAAGAACATCCCAATAATTGATTATTGCTTTACATTTTAATAAAAACTTGCTTTTCCTGGAATCAAAGAACTTCTTAGTCACAAGACTCTTCAAAACCCTCTACATATTTGATAAATTCTGGAAATCGGTCAGATTCTCAGCAGTACCCTAACATACGGCAGGATGATGATCGGTGAATAATTACATTTAAGTTTTGATTTGCTTCTTTATGGGTGGAGGTAGGAGACGTTGCCGCCAATAGGCTCAGCTTCCTGGACAACAGGGATTAATTATTGCGTGCACAGATGCGAGGTTTGTGAGGAATGCCCGCACAAGCCGGCATAACATCTGATGATCTTTGAGCAGGGATGAAGGGAAGGGGCACATGCGATACTAATTTTGTAGGTTAAACTATTAAATAACTAAGTAGTAATATTTGAGAGACAACAACGTGCCTTACACCAATGGAGCTTTGGCATGACAGATGGATATAGCAGTAGATCACAAAATCCCGATTCTAATGGTGTAAATCCACCATCAAGTTATGTACAGCAAGGTGAAACAAACGTGCAGGTTCGCTACCACCTTTAGCCGCATTATTTCAGTTGTGTACTGTAGCATTACGGTAATCCTACAGGGCATCGCTGGAATGCCACCGCAAGAGACCGTTGCATCTCGACATGGTCAGTTCCTGATATCATGCCTGTGAATCAAAATAATCAAAATCAATGACAATTAGTGATGACACACCAGGGCTGGCAGTCTGGATAATTGTCCAATTTGGTACCAAGAAGCAGTTTGAGCAAATATTGCCTAGTCACTTTCTGAAATTTTACTTGTCTGCTTAATCATGACAATTGTCGATTGACAGTGCTAGTACATATAAGCTTTCACTTTGAGGCTTACTTAAAACTTGAGAAAGCTGCCAAGCAAGTATTTCAGCACCTGATTTGTTCTATATCTTGAGCTCTGAAGCACATATAGAGTCTCTTTTATAAAACCAAATTATTTTTTTTACAAAAAGATTATGCTGTTTGACATATCCTGTGTCCAATTTCGCAGCAAATGATCATCAAAAGCGAAGTAACTTATGGCTCTTATTGTGAAACGTGTAAAGCGAGATATAATCAATTTGTATGGATATTTATGTTATAATTATCTTGAAAATTGTTGATAAATTTTCGTACCCTATGTTTGTGCGATATTGCATAAAAGCACGACGACATCTGGCTGACTTTGGGTCCCACCATAAAAACTTTGTAAGATTCAAGAAGTTCCACGGCAAAATAGATAGGTGCTTACATAGAGATCGTAAAACATCCTCTTCCGAGTTTTGCATTACGAAGATGAACGGTGATAAACTAAGAAATTCTGTATTTATTGGAACAGTGGATGAACAGCTTACCTCCATGAGATCCTAAAAAATGAAAAATGTGGAGCAGTGTTAGCTGGTCTTCTTCTGCAGAAAATACTCAACCTCTGCGAAAGGTAAGCTTTTCAAATTTCGAATAAATCTTTTCCTATCGTGCGCCGAACTACGTAATTGCACTATCATATCACTCGCTTACTGGAGCAACAGATGGTTCGCAAACATCCGGTGGGCAACACATGACCGAGCTGCTATAAGCCCAGTCCAACAAGGGAAGGCCAACCGAGGCTTGTACAAACTTATGAGGATAACGATATAACTCATATCTTTGATAAAGATATTCTACTTCAAACTAAAAAAAAGATGCTTACTCGTAACCATCTCTGAATATACGGAAGCAGTGATCAACACATGCACAAAAGCCGTTCGCACACATCGGGATATCTTATACTCCTCCAACACCTGAATTTAGAACGAATTTTCTTCAAACCGTACCTTAAACGCGGCACCTGCCTTCTAGGTCTCATTTCTGCCGGGAGTTTAAAGAGAGAATTAGCAAAAAAAAACAATCAGACCTTGTACAGAAAAAGTTCTGCTTCATTTCTGCATCAAACCACTAAGTTGGCATTAGTTCTTTTATATGCTTTTCAACATCGTGTCAGCAGTGCAAGACTTCGAGTGCTACACAATGCTCAACATAGTTCTGTAAAGGTGTTAAGTTTTCAGCTAAGAATGAGCAAGAAGCGATGACGTCTGTGGCTATTTGCAGAGCAATATCAGGGGATGGCGTCGCCCTCCGTAGGCGTCTCGAGCACTGATAAGCGTGCAAGTGTACCGTATAAAAAAAGGAAGACCATGAATGGAACTCACTTCACCATGAATTTCTCTTCCGCACTTATCTTTGCTTTCATTGTCGTTGCCTTCACAAAACCTCATCACAAAGGGAGTTCCAGCTCCAGCAGTGATGATGATTTTAAGCACAAGGTAGGCTTCCCTTAGTATCTTATCATCCTTAATCTTCCTGATCGTATTTTTTAGCGTCACCATCATAAGCACGAGCATCATCATCACACTTTCCATCCACGTCGCTCAACTTCAACTACTACAACAACGCCGCCAGTGTATAAACCGAGTACAGAAGTTCCTGAAGTCGCTACCACATCAGATCGTATTGCTACTGATGGTGTCGCAACTACCACTTTGGCTGGATTCACCACTGAGCCTATCACTTGAGCAGAGGTGGAACCAAGCACTAAACTCTTTTCTGCTAGCACATTGATAGCTGTCGTGACAAAGGTTGTGACTTTGGAAGGAAGCGCTGTTCCGGCTGCTAGCACTCAAGCAGTAGTTCCAAAAACAGATGCATCAACCGAATCTGCCGCTGAGGCCTCGATTCAACGCGACTAGAACAACGGCAGAAGTAAACGAACAGTAAAAATCCTTGTATACACCGCAGCTGGATGCTTTGAGTGTGTCATACCATGTTTTTAATGTACATATCGCAATACTTTTCGAATAAATTTCATATGTCTTTTCCTCAATGATAATTATTAGCGTTGTACGCTCTCAAAAGCTAAGAACTATATAGGTTGAGAATATTCACAGTTGTTAAAATTACATGCTGTGCCAGAGTGGACGCATTTCTCCTATTCGTCAGGCTGTAGTCTTGCAGAAAACTTCTGGCAATAACTGGGCTACTGTAAATGCTTCTTGACGTACATTAACCCAAGATTAGCACAAATCGATATGGATTGCGTCTGGAAACCTATTCACACATTATATTTCGTGTCATTAGCATAAAAACTTCAGCTCTTTGTAACGGTTTTGTGCAATGCTTTCGTGCCTTTCGTTTATGTCTTGTGTGATTGCTATCGTCGGATCATGATCCTACAATCCAAAAAACAATGTATACTACAACAACTGGCGCTTGACTCAAATTGTCCTGCAACCCCTGGGTTATCGCAAAAAGTGTAGGATACAATGCTGTCAGTTACAGTTCGCATCACCCAGACACATTTACCGGTCGGCGACCGCTCGGCGAACGCCTGGAGCAACGTCATTGCATCCAAAACGCTCACCAACCTGCCAGACACTCTTATTGGCTGGCGGCCGTGCGAACGCCGCCTGGTCCGTCCGGGTATGGTGCGGAAGGCGACGATCTCCAATTTTTGTGCCTTTCAAACTCGTCGATGCTAAGGGTGCCTTCATACCGCGCCGTCAGCAGCCGCTAGCAGCCCGTAGCAGCCCGCAGCAGCCCGTAGCAGCCGCCAGCAGCCCGTAGCAGCCGCCAGCAGCCCGTAGCAGCCACCAGCAGCCGTCAGCAGCCCGTAGCAGCCCGTAGCCGCCGCGGCCGCTTTTGTTTTAGAAGCGAATCATCGGAAAACTACTCTGAATGCTCCTGCCTACTCTTCTGGTGCCGCCAGTGGGTAGTTCGATCTCACTAATCATATTTGTGTCCATTTCCTTATAATGTCACCCCACGGTCATCCTGTTAAACCATAGTTCGCAGAAGTTTCTTTCCGTGTATTTTTCTCTGACTTTGGATGCGTCCAGTTCCTGCAGATGTACAGTTTGTTCACTTTTTGAGTATAGTTTTGCTTCAATCTCTTCTGGCTATCGGTGCATATCTGAATTGCAGTGTACTATTTCTCAAGTTCACCGAGTTGATTCGCGGGTGGATTCGTCCAACTTTGACAATGGCTCACATTCGTTTCAAATAAGACAGATTACAAAAGTGAAATTTGGGCACCGATAAGATGCACGGCAGCAGAACCATGAACACAAAAGTAATATGTAAGATCGAACTATACACTGGCGGCAGCAATAGAAGAAAAAGCGTGGAAGATGAAAAGCGTAGGCAGGAGCATTCAAAGTAGTAAGATTCTGATGATTCTGATGACTTTGCGCGTCTATAACAAAAGCGGCCAGCGGCGGTTACGGGCTGCTACGGACTGCTGGCGGCTGCTACGGGCTGCTAGCGGCTGCTGACGGCGCGGTATGAAGGCACCCTTAGCACCGACGAGTTTGATAGGCACAAAAATTGGAGATCGTCGCCTTCCGCACCATACCCGGACGGACCAGGCGGCGTTCGCACGGCCGCCAGCCAGTAAGAGTGTCTGACAGGCTGGTGAGCGTTCTGGACGCAATGACGTTGCTCCAGGCGTTCGCCGAGCAGTCGCCGGCCGGTAAATGTGTCTGGGTGATGCGAATTGTAACTGACAGCATTGTATCCTACACTTTTTGCGATAACCCAGGGGTTAGGCCAATTTGATTCAAGCGCCAGTTGTTGCAGTATACATTGTTTTTTGGATTGTAGGATCATGATCCGACGATAGCAATCACACAAGACATAAACGAAAGGCATGGAAGCATTGCACAAAACCGTTACGAAGAGTTGAAGTTTTTATGCTGATGGCATGAAATATAATGTGTGAATAGGTTTCCAGATGCAATCCATATCGATTTGTGCTAATCTTGGGCTAATGTACGTCAAGAAAAGTAGCCCAATTATTGCCACAAGTCTTCTGCAAGACTACAGCCTGACGAATAGGAGAAATGCGTCCACTTTGGCACAGCATGTAATTTTAACAACTTGTGATATTCTCAACCTATATAGTTCTTAGCTTTTGAGAGCCTACAACGCTAATAATTATCATTGAGGAAAAGTCAATGAAACTTATTCGAAAAGTATTGCGATATGTACATTAAAGACATGGTATGACACATCAAAGCATCCAGCTGCGGTGTATACAAGGATTTTTACTGTCTATATACTTCTGTCGTTGTTCCAGTCGCGTTGAGTCGACGGTTGATGCATCTGTTTTTGAGACTACTGCTTGAGTGCTAGCAGCCGGAATAACGCTTCCTTCCAAAGTCACAACCTTTGTCACGACAGCTATCGATGTGCTAGCAGGAAAGAGTTTAGTGCTTGCTTCCACCTCTGCTCGAGTGATAGGCGCAGTGGTGATTCCAGCAGCCAAAGTGGTAGTTGCGACACCATCAGTAGCAATACGATCTGTTGTGGTAGCGACAGGAACTTTAGTACTCGGTTTATACACTGGCGGCGTTGTTGTAGGGGTAGAGGAACGAACGCCTCAATTAGGCATCGCCTCCGCGGGCTGCTGGTCCTTCCGTCCTGCTGTTATGCATCGTGTTGGGACCAGTGGTCCGCGGAGGCGGTGCCTAATTGAAGTGTTCGTTCCTCCACCCGGAGATTCTCACACCAACTTACTTGCTTGATGGAATGCAGCAGCATTTTTTCTGTACAGCAGCGTCCGATTGTGCTTTCGTCTCTCTTTCTCTCTTTCTCTCAGAAAGTGGCTGCATTGACACCGAGAAGCCATGCTTGTTTAAGGAAGCGGTTTAAAGAAAATTTGTTCATGAAAAATCTAGCGTTCGAGAAGTATAAGGTGTTCCGATATGTGCGAATGGCCTTCGTGCATGTGTTATTTACTACCATAGAAACGGAACTGATACGCCAGTAAAAGCACAACTCTTTTTGGTGTAAAACACAAACAGATGGAAAGGAGATTAGTGAATATCGCTCTAACTTTGTTCCAAGTATCCCACTAAAATTATTTTTCGTCGCGACGCTGTATATTTCGGCACTTGACAAACGGTCACTCAACGATATTCATCACTGTTTAGAAGCTGTAGACCAGCATTATGCGGAAACTAGGTTAGACATATATCAAAGGAGAATTTAATTTCCTCTCATGCAGTTGTTAGTGGAGAAAATGCAACTGAGGTCTATTTCACTTATATCAGAATAAAAAAACTTTTCACTTTCAAAGCGACTGATTTATGCTTGTTCAGTCTCCACATGAGTGAATTCTACGAAACGCTGCATTGTAGCATAACAAGATCTCTTGGTTGCGTGACTTGGAGACGAAAATGATGAGACAGTCCTAGTATAAACTCTCCGCGCTGGAACTGTTCGCAAGCCAACCAATAGTGCAGGAACAAATTTTTGGGAGTCTTTACTTAGAAATCGGTCAAGTACAGTGCAAAAAGGCATAAGGTAAAAAAATCATTTTTGATACTATTTCTCGTATATACACAAGCACATCAAACTGTATTAAGCTGCAAAGTTGGCATTTGCTGGCCTTGCAGCACCACCTGCGCTTATGGCAATTCGTCCAGTAGCGTCCGTCAGACCTGTAATATTTGTGGAAGCCTTTCAATCAGCCTATAACTGGAATACCTGGATGATTAAGGCGCTCATGTTCAAATGTTCCATGCGCAGTGTGTCCCTATAAAGGTGCTGTTCTGAGACAGAGAAGATACCTTGATAGCTTACCGTTTCATCGCCAGTGTAGTCAACATCGGCAAGCTGTGACTTTGCAAAGGCAATCAAGAAGTAGACTAGAATTAGGATTATAAATCTCATTGCTAGAGTGGTGCTGATGCTGACGGTCTACGCATGCCTTTTATAGCCATTTTGTATCCTCACTGATGTCATCCACCTAAATACATTACTCATGGATCAATTTTCAAGGCAACTGTATTGATGAAGTACTATCAGTCGTGAGTCAACTAACTGCAAAGTTCTTTTTCCAACTTCGTAGGAAGATACGTATGACACCATTTTCTCACATTTTGATGAAAGGTTGCGGTTTTATAAGACACCATGATGACTACTAATTCTTTTGGCGATGGTTTACATTTCTGCACGTAATTTGTATCAAAGCATGAGAGAAAATTTTCTTGTCAATATGAGGAGCAGCAATTTCTTTCTAAAAGTCTGACGAACATCCACAACTGTTTTCATAAATTAAACACTTAAATCAAGATTTTTGGAACACTTAGGAGTGTATATAAAACTGATCTTGAAGTGTTCATCTGTCGATAAATCTTGGTATGTTGGGACTGTCTTGTGCTGCTTCGTTGGGTAATCAAGATTGGTAAGCAAGATTGGTAAGCAATGTCTATTGCACACACTGACGTTTTGAAGGTTCCTCGTTTTCCAGAGTCTAAGGAAGTCAAAGCACATCAGCAACCTATCCAACCAAATTAATCGTCAATTACATAGACGTCCATTTTCTGAATATTCGGTCAGGAGTGATTCATTTTTTGCGATAAACGAGTATCGCAACCTCAAAAATTGAAGGACTTCTTTATGAAGCTCCAGTGACCAGCGGATTGTATGCAACTTTAGCAAAAACTTAGTAAACTCGAAAACAATTCAATATGAAAAACAGTATACTGGATCTGTCAACTCATTACCTCACCGAGCCGTTGTCATGCCAATTTGTGGACTTTCAATTTAGCAACATCGAGTATGGGAACTTTTTGAAGATTAGTGGGTCAACTTTGCTTCGCAGCTGATCGCAATGTCCATCTATTTTTCTTCTGCTCGCGTGACGCTGGATTCTGCTTTAAAGCTCACGTTCAATGATTACGTTTTTATGTGCACGTCTGCGTAATCCAAGAACAGTAGGACTAGCAACGCGTATGATCGTAAAGAATCTTGCCACAGGATCTCAAATGTTCAAGGTAAAGTTTTTATACCAAAGCGATGGCGATAAATATTTTTAATTTATCCTAATGTTCCTAAAGCTTCAAGTATTACTCACTAATTCTGAAATCACACATGTATTAAGTTGTTCCATGAGTTTTTTCAATTTTGACTTTTTACCGCAGTAACAGTGACACATCTCTCAATTCCAATTAGGATGCAGAGCAAATTATGGGAAGAAAGCAAGTATGCTCACATTAGCCTCAGAGCTTTGCTTCTCACACTTTTCTCATGATGGCATATTACACATGTATGAAGTAGCGCTCAAATATCGGATCTGTACTACGTATAAACTTCTAGAATTTAAGGATCATGCAAGCAAGTGTATTCTTAATGCTGATAGCTTATTTCAAAACACAATCCATCCAATCAAACCTTGAGAACGTTTCAAGTAAAAGGCTCAAAGCATTCTTCAATTTCGAGAATGCACGAAAATATTTTTGAACTTTTTTTTTTCAAATCTGCTGATGTCTGCCTATAGACATTTTCAATCTAGCTAGGCAAGATGAAAGAGGCTAGGCTACCGGTACGTGTTGTTTGAGGATTGTAAACATTTTGCGATGGGAGTGTCTTCAGAGAAACCTTAAGATTCTGCCAATATTTGGGTTGAATGCAGCAGTGTCTTATACCAACTATCTATCTAAAGTCAAATTATGTTTGAAGTCCTTGTCACAGGTCCTTGAACTATGACAGCAAAATGCACAGAAACTAGTCGCAACAAACTCTAGAAGAAAATTTTCGTGACATTGTTTATGCGAGGCACCGTATAGCATCTTATTGTGGCAGTAATAAGTTTTTCTCTTTGTTTCTAATACTCATTTGACCTGAGTACCAAAATTTCGGAGATTTTAACGAGAACAAAAAAGCTTTCAAAAGTAATTTACGGGTTACCGTCTTACGCTAAGGCAAAGCGCATTAACGTTAACGCTGCATTGCTAGATTGTGAGCAATAGCACACTATTTATGGGTAAGTTTCATAGGCTTGATAGGTACATTTCTGTACTTCGCGAATCCGATACTGCGGTAGGATGAGGGGGAAGTGGAGTGGAGCAGTTGTATGGGCTGCAAGTATTCACAAGTATTCTATTATATTTCGTATACGGACACGATTGAAGGACTAAGAATCCCTCCATAAATGCTAGCGTTAGCCAGATCAGGGCTTCGGCCTTTTATGACATGGTATCACCTTACTGCGCCAAAAGAGTACGGAATTTGGCGCTGGCCTGGAGGCGAAGGATTAAAGCACTGTTTTGGTATACGGCAGATCCGTAGGTGATTACCATGCGGAATCCACTAAAGAAGCCAGTTATCTCAAAAAAATTTTGTTTCTTACTGCAGGATTAACGAATCCATAGAAACTTTGTTTCAAGAAAATTCTTTTGGTTATGACTTTTGTTTCGGATGAATTTAGGAAACTACAAAGCTAATTGTGCTTCCAATGTACACATATTTCGGCATATAAGTTTGTAGAGATTTTGTTACGGCTGCTAACGCAACTGAAAGCGGCTAAAAGACTATGCAAGTGCCTTATCCGCGTTCATCCTAGACCTACAGGGTGCGCAACAATTATTTGTGTGTGTATTTCTAAGCGCAATACGAATGTAAGACTCCGCGAGAGGTCAAGCTTGTTATGGTTTTCTGATTTGCATAACGTTGTATCCTAGTTGAAAGGTGTAAAATTGCTGTTTTGCTTTTCGGTAAAAATTCATAAAAATTCCTCTGACTTTGTCGCGGGCTGTACGCGAGTAGAATCACAAATTTGCCCAGCAAGTATCTTGTTAGTGGTCGCTTTTCTCATATAAAGATTTCGCCATAAAATAGTGCTAATCTTTGTAAGTCACTGAGTACTGGAATCTTTGGGGGCATTCAAAACAAAAATTTTGACTGCAACCATTTGCGTCAGCTTAGGTTTTTCCTGAAGCGAACATTGTTTTTACAATTCTTACTTCTCTGAATATAGACCGATTTGGGAGCTTGATAGCGCTCTTTATACCGTATGTTCACGGCATTCTGTGGCATTAAATCTAGACCAAATTTCTCATAGGCTTCGTTGTGCCACTATTTTGAATATTTTGGCGCACCCTGTATCTGGAGTTATAGCTAGCACAGAGGGAGGCAGGAAAAATTTTCGAGAATTTATTACCTCTGGTGAATTATGCATGGTCGCGAAAACTTGACCTTTAATGAACATTTATTCTTTGATGAAAGTATGTATGACACTACATTTTTGTTTGCGATTTAAAAGTGAAAAGAAGCAAAAGCGAAATCCATAGACGATGCATGGACGCCAAGCAAGCGCATTTATTTTTTTTCATCGAACAGATCAAAAAGAGGCGCTGAAGAAGATAATAGCGGAAAATCAGCATTGCTGACTATCATGCTCATCTCGCTAGTTTCTTTTCAAGGTCAAAAATAAGCTGCATTGTTTTTAATAGATACTAACCGATTGTGTGTCCCATCCAAATTTTATAACCAGAATCTTCAATTATCGAAAAATTGCGTTACAACAATAATTTGATAACGCTCAACAATCACATTACTAAAACAAAATATGGAATCATAACGTTTGTTTCCGCGGTCGTTCAAAAACATCAAAAAGCCCTTTTAGTATGAACACTGTTCTCAGAAATTTACGCTCAAATGCCGTCAAAGTGCTTGAAAAGAGGGAGATGTGGGCGGTTTTGGTTAATTTTAGTAAGTTTTGAGCTTCGGCGGGGATTCTCGGGAGGAAGAGGATCTTTGTCAAGCGTCATATAGCAGGTTCCAAAATTTCCAATACTAGTTTTGAGAAGACCACATCCAACTGCTACTTCTTCGTACATTCCTGATCCCCTACTAATATTCAGCTGGAATAAAAATACTTACTTTTTTGGCGATGGTAAAAAATATTGTTAGAGCTTACGTTATATATAATGAAGGGTCCGCAATCTTTCAATAAGTAGTCGGCTGCCATTGTAGGACTGTAAACCCTGTAAACCCTTTTACCCCTTTTACATAGAACTAAATATGGTAAAGTTGTGAAAGCTTACTCTGGGAGGAGATCGCTGAACCCTGCTTCTTTGAAGTACTTGTATTTAGTATATCCTTCCAACCATTGGAATCTGGCGTACCTTTTTTGTGTTGTTAGTTCCTTTATCAATATTCTCTTGGCTATCTCTCCGTAACTGTACTCTTCGACCTGAACGATTTACTTACATCTCGTACATAATGGTTGAGCCATAATTATGTTTTTCAAACTGACTACATATCTGGCTATATGATATATTGTCTCAAGAAGGTGGGCCAGATCGCTAGCCACTTCGTCAGTCAAATCCTCCTCCAACGGAGTAGGCGGCTTGGGCTTACCGATTGAGGCCAACAACTCTATCCCTTCCTAAAATTCAAGTCTGTGGGGGAAAAAATAAAAGGCCGAAGCAAATTTGATATCAAACAAAGCGACCTCATTGTAAATTCATATCTTTAACAATCCTTTGTTGAAGCTCGACTAAGTAAGTTAGCATCGGTTGACTTATGCACATCAGCACAAAAGCACAGAGACCTTGGAGGCAATTCTACTCAGCGATTGTCAGTAAGCTAATGTAAAGGCAAAAATTTCAAGTGGGCTAATTGTTCTATTGAGCAGATTGGTCTTATTCCTTGCGGCACGAGCTGGCAAGACTGTAAACAACCTACTCTTATTATCTAAAATATCAAAGAGTAAAGTCTGAACTATCGCGGTGTCCGCGCTTACTGCAATTACGAATATAGCTAGTCAGCTATCACTCTCAATTGCCTCGTGCGAGTAATTTGCTTCCCTTCAATTACCTTTTTTAACTTCGTGTTGTTCTTATCGAAGGTGTTGTTAAACAGAGCTGATACAATTTGAACTAGGTCAGATATGTTCTCTTCTCCAAAAGTTCGAGGCAGTTATCGCTTTTAATGCTACCTAAGCGGATTTCTTAAGAAAAATAACTACACGATTTGAAAGAGCAAGCTTTTTTCACATAATCTATTCTTTATTCTCGAAGCAACTCTAACGCCCTTAGATAACCTCGAAGCAGATTTTATGCGACGCAAATCTGGCGATTTTTGGCACTTGCATTTTTTGCATCAAGCCTGGACGACGTCTGAATCTTGCAATCTTCCACACTTATGTTGAGCTAGTTCTTTAGCGTAAGTATTATATTTTCTGACTTCGAACAATATGAACATATAGATCAACGTGATAATCCAACTATCGCGGCTATGCTAGCAAATAGCTTTGTCTGGGTGCAGATGACTATACATTAGGCCGTTCCGAAAGTTCTTTCCGTTTTTTCAACCTATCACAAAAACACGTAAAATGAAGGTAGAGGAACGCTTTAGGCACTGTCCGACGCGGCTTTTCTTCCTGTTTTCAACTTTTGTACTCCTGTGCTGCTTGCTCTTGTGGTCAGTGAGAAAATGGCCGAAATTTCGCACCCATGGTTTTTACCATGTCCAAATTTGGCAATTTTTCACAATCTTCTTTTTTGACTTTTACGAAAGTTTTGATAGCAGTCAGTCGGAGCAAACAAAGTGCAATATGATGCAATTTATCGCCGTTTATAGCTAGCCTTAAAAATGTTCTAGAATTATTTTTCTGATGCTATCGAATTCCACTTTTAGGGACGCCAAGAGCCATTGAACGTAAGACGGCGCACAACTAAGGTGTCATTCGATGCAGCTTTTCCTTCTCTTTCTATTGAATGTATTTTCTTTCCAATTTGCGGGGTCTCTGGCGATAAAGTTTCCATAATTCTTAATTTTGAACCCGCCCCAGCCTGTACACGTAAAATGCGAAACCTCATATTTACAAGCGCTAAACGCTCAGTTGCTTTGTAATAATTGTGGATAATCGTAATTGAGTTTAAAAAGCTTCAAAATCCGTATACTTGCCAGTGTTCGGGGCGTTTCTGTATTTCGGGATGAAGACTTTTGGAAAAATTATCTCAAAAAATACTGAAAAGCCAGCTGGATTTGCAAAAAAATGTATTGCATTGCACTTTGTCTACTCTACTTCATTGCTACCGAAGCTTCTCCGAAAGTTGAAAACGAAGATTATGAAAAACTAGCTGGTAGCCCCGGCCTCACCCGAGGCTCCAAAATAGTATAGCTTACAAAACATGTAAACTTACGCTTCTAAACTTTTTCAAACATGCGCAAAAAGCGCTTTGAGACGACTTGCCGCATCTTCCCGACTTTGAGATAGAAATGAACTTTACCGCCCCTGCATACAAGCTTGTATGTAAAAATGATCGGTTGCCATGATGGCCCTTCATTTTATAAGGTTTGAGTAAACAAATCAATAATTCGATAGAATGGCCCGGCAAATCGCAGCGGAAAGTAGCTCTAAACCATCGCCGGGGTCGAAAATATACGTGTGCGAAGTTTCAGCCGGATCGGTTCAGTGGCGCGCGTTTCTATAACGAACGAACATTTAAACGAACATCCTCACAGACATTGAGTTTTATATATATAGATTGCCGATTTTGACATGGTAAAAACCATGTGTTCAAAATTTCGGCGATAATCTCAGTGATCACAAGAGTAAGCGACATGGGAATATGACTGTTAGAAAGAGGAAGCAACGCTGCGTCGGATAGTGAAAGCGTTTCCCTGTCTTCATTCCACGTGTTTTTATGATAGGTTAGAAAAACGGAAAGAACTTTTGGAACGACCTAATATATAGACCGCAGCCGCCCGCGTCTTTTTGCAGAAAGCTAATTTCTACTAGCACCATAGTTACATTGATAATTCTTCATTGGGCGTAACAATTTCAGAAAAATTTTCAATCGTAGTCTCCATGTATGGAGCGATGCTGTCACCGAAAATGACGATTTCTGCTTTTTGGAAGTTTATACTTGGCAGAGTAAAACAAATGTTACGTTTGTTCTAAAAGCGAAATGAACTTTGCAGACCAAGAATAGCTTTTTCAGAAAGCATAAAGTATAGCTATTACGTCGTAAAACAGACCTTGCTGCAGTAACCCGCAATTGGAATATAAACGCTACTTATGGAAGGATTCTACTAGTACATATTTGCACAACTGTATTGGAAGAGGCTTTCTAAAATTTCTAGTAATCAATTTTTGAAAAAATTCTGAATGTTGGGAATTGGATCATCAACATTAAACGTTTTCCAACTGACCACAACTCCATTTCGAACCTCCAAAGAGAGAGCATGATCTGTTTTGACGTCTATCTAAAAACTCTGATGATCTGTATTTTTGAGAAAATTGTAAACGGTAAAAATTGGGCCATAGCCTCTAAAAGTTTCTAAACTGACCTCCTTGTCATCAAGATCCTCAAATTTAATATCCGATGTCTCTTGAACGTTGATATACTTTTCTCCATCAAAATCATGTCTTTGCTCCGCAACTTCATCTGTTGAAAATGCGCAGTACAGCGTCCCAACATGATACCCACGTTCCTTTAGCCGGTCCACGTAAAACTCTTTGCATGAACATCCAAACTTCCCGTTGCTCTGAAGACTACCCCGTTAGTCCATGCAAAAGAATTTACTTAAAATATAGCTGGAATTGCATTTTACCCCTTCAGTGGTTGTTTACACCAAAAAGTATTGAGCAGTGATACTACCGCAAAAAATGCGACTGTCACACTTTTACAAAAATCTGCTAGCGTTTGACTAAACTAGCCTGCCCTTTGATTTGCTTCCTGAAGGTCCGCGGAAGTTTTAGACAAGAGAAATTGTAGAAAGAGATTTTGCATATACTGGAGAGTATCGCGGCCTACCTTTTCGTTATCGATCGATGTAGATTCAACGATTTTTTTACAAATTTTAATAGAAGCCTTGTTTCCAACAAAAGCGAAGTGGTACGATACTATTTGATTTGATGTGCGTGCGGGAACTCGAAGACGGCCCGAATACGGTCGAATATTTATGAAAACTTGATTAGATGAAGGACTCGCTGAATTTTTCCGAATCAGCTGCTCCAGCTGGGTTTCAGCTGACTGAAAAACCCTTGCTCACGTAATTCATATTTTTTCCATATATACGGCTACCATTTCTCGCGAGCAAAAATCGTTTGACGATCCTACCTCTAGTCTTTTTGAAACTTACAAGTCAAAAAATCCTCATTAACGGCACAATCTGCTCCAATCGCAAAGCGCGCCTAAACAAGTCTTGGACTTGGTTCTGTTTGTTTCCTTGCCAAGCTGAGCAGCAGCTACGTCAGTTGAATTCGCCGTTGAGGGGTTAGGTACGGCCATGCAACAGGAGCTCAGGTCAGCTCACACCTTCAAAGGACATGGTATTTTTTGCAAAGGGCATGATCATTAGCATAAAACCGCAAAGTTTTGGAGTATATAGCGGTGGTCCCTCTGATTGCGATTCTCTCACCTTCTATGCTTCTATTAAAGAGACGGCATTTTTCAACTTGTTTTGGGTTTGAAGTTGAGGAAGTAAGGGTTATTAGATGATTTCTTACTAAATCCTTGTTAAAAGTGGGTATGTTAACGCTCTTGCATGCTTGCTCTTATTCCGATCAAACCTTTAACCTATAAAAATATTCATAACTATACCACTGTACCTTCGTCAATATTCCATAAAAGGAGTACATTAAAGTCGCTACAGCAGAGATGCTCACACTGTTTTTTGTACTAAATAGACAATGATTGAATAAATCAATAAGGATTCGCACAACTTACGTATAACGAACAGCGAGCAATGGATCACAGTCTCCTTTGTAGTAATCCTTGATGCACTCTTTAGCGCGAGATTGCAAATCTTCTTCAACTTTCTGTAAAAAAGGCTATGAACCGTTTGCAGCAACACTTGATTACGCCAGTTAATGTGTCCAATGCTTGTAACAGAAAATGGATTTTTGCAGCTGACGAGCTCTTCGTAAACACACGATTAGGCTACATAACTGCTTTGGAAGCTGTGATCTGCTGTTTGCGGATATATACAGAGCAGAGTTCAAAGGCCGGAAGACTAAAACCGCTTTTGATAAAAGACGGCTGTAAAAGTACAGAAAAAACTTTATGCAAGTACATTGTGCGGCAAAAGACCTTGAGCTTAGCTTGTTTAGATGAAATGAGAAGCGAGGTACCTAGAAACAAAAAATTTGGTGCACGCATAATTCTAACCTTTTCAAATATCATTCATTCTATGACCAGGAAACGCGCAACTGCATTGCACACATTGTCTAAACAAGCCTAATCATGTCCTTAGCAGGTCCTGTCCTTTGTCCTTCATTTACAACGGTGAGGACACGCGCGCGACGCGTTCGCGCCCGCTCAGCTGATACCACTTCTGTACCTTCGTCATGCAGTAGCCTTTAGACCTTCAAACCCCCGCCAGCAGGCAGCCACAGAGGTTGGTTTGTACGTCTACAAAAGAATTGCTGTCACATTGAAAATATGCAGCATGATAGAGCGCGTTGCAAAATTCGACCATAATTGTAATGCTTTTGTTTTTTGCGTAGCATGCAACGCTCGTTGGTTGTGCGATCGTAGGTGGTCAAGGGCAGATGGTATAGTTAACGTGGAGTGCCCGAACGGTTCCTAATGCTTGCCGCTTACGCGGGAAATGCCGGCCTCTTCTTGCTGTTGGAGTAATTTTGTATAATACCTAATTGTATAAATAATTTTGTATGAGATACCTTGACCATTTTTCTTGGATATGTCAGTCCCGCTCACATTTTGGGAACATGGATCGATGCCTGAGCATTGGCTAAACTTTTCATAGAAAAGCCCACACAATCACAGTAGATAAGTGTAATGTCACATAGGTTCAGTCCAGACTTGCTGGTGAACGAAAATGTTGCTAACACGACATATGAATGCTAGTCTCCATGCCCACTAAGTTTCATCTGAAGCATACAAAAAAGGCTTCGATCCAGTAATAATTTTCTCTCATTTCAATACAAAGCGACCACAGCACGCTAGCAAATTACAAATTTTAGTGTAGTTAGCAATTGCAGCCATCAGCGATAGCATTATGAACCTTTGTATTGAGAACATAATCCTTGTGCCTCCGCGACAAGTAATCTGTAAAGAGCAAACATTGTAATATTGCGCTCTTCTTCGCTAATCAGCTCTTGCAAACAATTGGCGATCATATGGGAATGGCAAAATTCTGTTTTGTAGAGAATCATGAGGGGCAGAGGGGTGTAATCGAGCATGTTGATCACCCCCACGGGGGTGATCAGCATGCTCGATCACCCCCCTGTGCCAACTCCCAGCCCCGTAGCTCAAATTTTGCAAAAAATCGATAAAATCGATATTGATCGATGACGAAAAGTGGCCTATGACACCCGCCGGGGCCCGATATGTATGTGTGCCAAGTTTGGTCCGGATAGGTTCAGAAATGGAATTTTCTATTCGGAACATACGTACACACATACAGACATACAGACAGAGAGACAGACAGACAGACAGGCAGACAAACAGATATTCAGCTTTATATACAAGATGTATGGAGCCGCGCATGTCTACTCAAATGGTTCCAATACCAGGGATGTGTGTATGTGAAATGTTCTACATACACCCAAATCTGAGCACATGAAGCTCATTTTGGTAAAGGTTTCGATACGCTTTTCTGTGCTGGTCATCAATAGATTTTTTTTCTCAAAGCAATTTTTTTAGATTACCTTTGATTACTTTTCTCTTGATACCAAGTATATGAAGTTTGTTAGTCATAATCTTACCATCTGTCAATAACTTTTTCCTCAGTTAAGTTAACAATGAAGGTTAGGGGCTAACACGAATTCCCAGTAAGGATATGTTAGTGTTAGTAATAAGGTAAAAACTGTCGCAAACAATACTTGGAACTTGCAACAATACTTTACAGTTGTCTCTATTGCAAATTTGAGACTAAACTTCCTTCTAAGAAACTATAGGGACCTGCAGGAACGCGAGAGTCGGACGTGCGTACGGCCACTGCGCCGCGCACGTCAGATGTGCGCTCCGATGAAGCAAGTTGGTGCCAGACTTGTCCTGTTAAACAGGTTCATTCGGTTCACCACCTATGCTGTTGGACAGTGTAGTGATTTGACCTATGAACCGAACGAACCGGCTGAAGCGGATAATTCTGGCACCTGCCTTAGTGTCATCGGACGTGCGCGGCGCAATGGCCGTACGCACGTCCGACTCTCGAGATCCTGCAAACCCCTATATGATTTTTTCCCGATTTTTCGCATCGAGTATTGATTCATGTGTGAGAAAACAATGTCATGCATTCGGTGGTGTGCTCAAAAATCAAAGGACTTAACATATTTATGAGCTTTGCGGCAATGTTAACGTGGTACCGGTCGAAAGAGACTATTACAGTGTATTATAAACACTTTCGATGATCAAGCTTCGTCCCACAAGTTGGTTGCCTAGTAGCCTATAGACAATTTGTTCAAACATGTTGCAAAGCGAAGTTGGCATATCACGCTAAAAATACGCAAAGCTGCAATTATTTGTACTTATCTTTAGAATTCGTCTGAATAATTGAATTTCTTTTGAGTAATGTCAAATAGTCCAAAGTACAAACTTCTCATGTCATGCTCTAATGTTTATTAGTCTCTCATTGTGCCGAAATTAGTTGGGCTGGCTTTAATTAATTTCGGCTCAACGAAAAACTAACAAACTTTGTGATGTGACCTTGCAGAGCTACATGTGACAATACTAGGTTGTTCCGAAAGTTCTGTCCAATGCTCACTTTTTCCGATTTAACTTGTTCTGACTCCCTTCAAAATCAACAATTTTGCACAAATTTAGTTTTTTTTGGATTAAACGATGCTATATCTATCAAGAGCTCAGCATGACGTATAAAGAAAGCAAGCGAGAGAGAAGAGAAATTGTGGGGAATTTTGCAGAGTTTTCTTCAAAACCATCCACTATGACATATAAATGCTTCCATATAAGGATAAGCGGACTATTTGGCCGAACCATTGAGTAACCTATACTTCAGGTAATCTTTTGCGGCTAAAGTATGTTTAAGCTATCTTTGTGCACGGAGATTTTTACCAAAAAAATCCATTATTTGAGCCCTCCTTCGCGCGCACAAATAAGTCGACTTTGAATATTTGATTTCTTCTTGCTGTTATGAGCGAAGAAAACTAACTGGTTGATGATTCAAGCTTGCTCTCGCTTGACTCTATCGTATGCGTAACTGAGTGTACCACCGTTCGCTATACATAAATTTTTTATTACTATCTGAATATATAAGTTTGTCTTCCACCTTTGAGAAAAATTGAAAAAGTAAGACGTTTATTTTGTTGGAGGTAAAGTGTGCGTATATTAGCCCAACACACCCTGACCCATTGCAAAATATCACATATTTAGTATTACGAATACTGCGGGGAATTCCCTTCATAGAAACGTTTTCTTGAGTATGACTGCAGTTTGGTAGTTTGGCTTCGGGACTTGGACTCTTATCACTGAGAAAATGTTTTGTAAAGCATTAATGAGCTTTAGAAAGAGCAAGAGAAGTACTTTCAAATGGTATTTATACTTCTGCGACAAGCACAGAACTCCAAGAATCTAGCTGTGATAAGACAATGCAACTAGAAATCGGACAAAACTTTCGATCGACCTAATATATGTGGCAAGAATAAGAACAATCATCGGTGCTATTCACTACAGCAATTGCAAACACACTTTCGACTCGGGTTGAGCATGTAGTATATTTTTGGAGCTTGTTTGTTCAAAATCCGAGATTTTCAGCGTAATGTTCGAACATGCTCAATAAAGTGATGATTAGACTTTGATGAGTGATAATTAGAGTGATAATTAGACTTTGATAAAATATTGACACACTCTGACTTTATACACAAAATGCGCTCTTGCGCATAACTTTGGGAAATTTGCAAACTTTCGTAAGGGTAAATTTCTAAATATGAATTCAATGCAGTGCTGTAAAGTGTTGCATGCACTAATTGAGGCTTCGCAAAAAAATAGATGTTAGAAGTATCTCACACAAATCACAGACGCTTCATACACTTGCGATGTTTTCTATAACGAATAAAAACACATTGCTCAAGTATTAACTTTACATGTGCTAAGGTAAGACTGTTCTCAGGTTTGTCGCTAGTGAATGTAAAAATCACTAACGTTGATTTATCCAAGCAGAAAAGAGTGTTCAAAATTCTGACGAAAGACGCGTTACTCTCCGAAAAAAATTTCAAACTTTAGAATAAAGATTAGTTATTAGGTGTCAAGGAAATATGTTGTTTATTATATGCTTGATATGTGCTACCAAACTGGTTGCATCGCAACCAGTCTGGTATTACAAATGCTTGAGGGGTTTCTTTTCGATAGAGCAAAGCAAGCTCTACAAGAGGGCACACCAAATATTTGCGATAATTTTGTTCCACATAAAGTTCGAAGCCAAAATTTCAAAGAATGCAAAGGAAAGAAGAATCAAAAGTTGTATCTCTGTCTAGAAAAGCCCTACAGTTTTTTTACTTGCTTAGGCCGTATTTCGCATGGATTCATGGCGCAAGCATGGGTCCCCACGTTGTACTGCCATGAATCTATGCGAATTCGATCGCGGGGTCCAGTTTGGAGGCTTATATCTCAGCCGTTAGTGAGTCACCTGCGCTGCCACTTGGGCAGTGCCTTAGCTGGCTTAGCTAGGGCCCCAAAATTACTTTTTGCGTAAAAACCCCATGAGTCCAGATCTGCCAGGACGCTGCTTTTAAGCATGCGTTTCGTTGTTGCTTTGATGCTCTCTTGCAGTCTTGATGTCTGAGGAAAAGAACAGCCGGTTCTCGACAAAGGTGCAGTTGTAACAGCTGTTCAATTCTGCCGTTATGCCTTGATTCTAGTCCAACCTCAGGTGAAAGGGGTCAGCCAGATGTTGACCCTAAAGTAAAGGGGCGGAGAAATTTTTTCACCTATCGTATCTATGTTTTGGCCCATTTTGGTGTATGTATGTTCCTCGGCTTCTGGAAATAATAAGAAAATTCACAGGTAAATATCAGATGTAGAGAGAATGTGCCTAAGCAAGTAAGAAGCTCGTAGTACTCTTTTAGACGGAGATACAGTTTTCCTAAATTTTTCCACGCATTCAGATCCTTTTATATTTTGGCTTCAGGCTTCAAATGGAAAAATTTGAAGCAAATTCCCGAGTGCCATCTTGTAGAGCTTGTTTGCTCTATCGGATATCACCCTTTAAGCGTTTATGGGGTTTGAGTGGATAGCAAACATATAAAAAACGACATTACTTTCTCGGTAACCTAAAACTTTTATTTTGTAGGCCAGTGGCATTTGTTCAAAACAACAATACCTAATACTCTTTACGGATTCACAACTAAGCATGATGACCTTTGGCATCTGATAATTGATCCTTAATTCTGAAGTAAGGCCAGCACATAGTTTAGCAGCAGCCATTGTCTGACTCTACATGCAAGTAATGCATATTCAACCATGCATTTATCCAAAGAAAAAATCAGATGATATTTTGGCTGTTGCACGTTTTCAAAAGTGATGTAATAAGAAAGCTACCTAACTTAGCTTGGCCTTTTGGCAAGCGACATACATATTCTGAATCAGCTTCAAACGCTGATTCCAAATACGCTATTTTTAACTGCCACGCACCATTCTGAAGCGAGTTATGGGCTTCTTCCTGCTCAAAATTGACATACTACTGAACATGAGAAGACTGCCTGTAGATAAAAATCTGCAAGAAAAAGGTGCTGAGGTGTCGAAATAGTACACCAATCTTTTCTCACTAAAAAAGCCTAACGCAGGTGTATCAGCACTCATTAATGATGACGTGATGCCCGTGAGTCGATGAGCGTGCCAATTTTGCGCAGGCAAAAGCCCATAACTCGCTTTGGAATGGTGCGTGGCGCTAATTTAAAAGAGCATATTTTGCACTAGCGTTTAAAGCTGATTCAAACTATATATCTGCCGTGCCAAAAGGCCGAGCTAAGTTAAATAGCTTCTCTTTGAAGTTGTTGATTTCCCCGCGTTCCTTAGTACTTTATGAGACATTTCTTGTAAATTCACACGTCTTTAGAGCAAGGAAATCAGTTTGCATGATTTGCGAGTGTTCAACCCAGAAGCTTGAGAGTTTTTGGATATCTCCTCACAACCACACAATTTAAATGGTAGAAACAAAATCATACAACAGAGCATCAGAATGCTGCGCTTCATACATGACACGACATGTTTGAACAGGTCTGTATTGAGCCTCCTCCCTTCACTCCCCGTCAGATCAAATGTAGTTTGTGAGACCTTCCTTTGAACTGAACCACTATTTCACATTCGTCAGTTTAAATACTATCGTCTATCCTCCTCCACCTAGACAGACAGCCGACATAGATTTGCCGGTTAAGCAGCAGCGGCTTTGCCAGGATAAGGATGTGTTGAAAGATGAAATGTCAGAGATAATGTAAGCGGAAAATTAGAGAAAAATCCCAAAATTGCTAATGAGTAACATAGGGTACTTGTAAAACATAAATCTATGGACGTGTTGTGCGAAAACACACATTTTGGGAGCCTGTGGGTGAGGGAATCGATGAATAGCTGATCACCGCCATATGAAAAGAAAATAATTCCTTACGCTTTCTCTGCAGATGATCATTCACTTTTTCAAGCACTGCGCTCAAAGTATTTTCTCTGTATGTTTTCATAGAAGCATTTTTCAATAGGAACTTATGTTGAATATCATAAATTCGTTTCTTTGGTCTTGTCTCATTGTTTGCTTCGCAAAATATCTTTGTCGGTCATCACTGATTTTCCTATAGTGGCCGGTATCAAACATCTTAAAAAATACTAAATAGTTTTTAAAGTTGCACCTTGTGGTATTGTCAAATTCGATTAAGGATGGACATTGAAGTGTATGATGGCTAAACTCTTTCACGACCGTGACTTCTTCTATAGAACCGGGCAGCAGATACAAAATTTAGATGGAAGCAGATCAACAAACACCTTCCCTAGTTAAAAAAAATTTTTTTCGAATGTTAAAATTCTTTCTAAAGAAGGTCCTGTCAAGACCTACTTAAGTGAATTTCAAAATTAGTCCGGAATTAATTGCTCGTACGAAAAGCATAAACAGCTTAGAGTTGGAGGCGAAAGAACAAAAAAAACTATCATCAATCTTTTTCCCAATAATTATTAGGTCGTCCCAAAAGTAATTTCGCTTTTTTCAAACGGTTGCCACATTTGAAGGAATACACGTTTCTTAGAGATCTTGGTAGCGTTCAATCAGCTTTTCATCTTCTATCTAACCGTTACGAAAACTTTGTAAAACATCTAATGAGCTTTCAGAAAATAACCAAAATCTGCGACCCATGCTTTTTGAGATGGTCAAGTTTCACGATTTTTCAAAACTTTCATATCAATCCTCAGAAGGAGTTCAAGTAACGATTCGATAGAGTAAACCTCATAGAATATAGTACTACTTTTTTTTCTTTCTCGCAGCTCGCCGTAATTTTTTAAAAGATTTTTTAACAAAGCCATTGTTTGGCAGTCCCACCTCAGCCACAATCGCATCAAACATCAGTAATTACTCGGAATTTCAAGCTTTTAAAATGATATATGACTTAATATAGATTTTATAAAGCAAATGAGAGTTTACGGATTCAAAATATCAAATTTCGAGTTTTCAGGGTGCAGCTTGGGGCTCTTTAAAAAATGAATTGTGATGATTTTATCCCCGAAAACCAAACGAATCGGAAACAAAATAACACCCATTAGAAAGAGGAGAAAATGCCGCATCAAACAGACCCGAGCTGCTCTTCCTTTGATGTTCTACGAGGATTTAGCTGTCTAAGTATGGAAATCGGTAGCATCAGTTAAAATTCTATTAAAAATGTATGACAAGCTGTGGAAAAGAGAAAAAAGTTGCACTGTGATATAAGGTTTACTTTATAAAATCGTTACTTAAATTCCTTTTGAGGATTGATATGATAGTTTTAAAAAATCGTGAAACTTGACCATCTCAATAAATGTGTCGCAGAATTTGGTTATTTCCTGAAAGCTCATTGGATGTTTTGCAAGAATTTCGTAACCATTAGAAAGAGAATAAAATTCTGCATCGAACGCTACCAAGACCTCTTACAAATGTTTGTTTCTTTGAATGTGGCAACCGTTTGAAAAAAGCGAAAATACTTTTGGGACGACCTAATAAATATTAGGCGATGAATTTAATAGCACGCCTTGGGACTTAATTACAATACTAAAGCGATAAAGTGCGGATTTCATGATGTATCAAAGGTGCAGCTGCGTATGTCCGGATAGCAATAGAAGTTGAGCATCGAAAGTGAAAGCTTGCTAAAATTACACTCGAAACAAAGAATAATTCTGTTTTTCAAACGTCGAATACAATATTGTTGTCGCAGATGACATTTTGCTTTTTTTTGAAGAAAGTGTTTAAAATCTCAGGACTTGATCTTAAGGGGCCTTTGATATCTGCAGTTTATTTGAACTCTTACAAACGAACTTTTTTTTATTTATTTGAATACGCCAAAGGCGCGGCGCCGTAATGTTGGGTTAGTGTTAGCTTGTCCGGAAATTAATACAGGTTTTGAATTCCAACCGCAATAAATCATACACTTCTCATTTCTAAGTAGGTGGCAAAAACCGTTCGATAGAGCAAAGCAAGCTCTACAAGATGGCTATCTTGCTTTAGCAACAGCTCTGATCCCCCACGAGTTTTGAGCCAAAAACTAAAAAGATTCAACTGCCCCAAAAATTGAGAAAAATCGTAGCTCAGTTCGTAAAGATCCAACAAAAATTCTAACTTGATCACGTAAACACAATCCACATAAGGCAGGCACCTATATGCGTCGTTGCCGTACTTTTTCTCTGTTAGAAATCAAGAAAACGGAAATTTTCGTGCATTTGCCAGAGTGGTGTTGTGCCGTTCCCGCATAAGTAGTTGTATACTACAGACCTGTAGAAGTATAAACGTAAATTTTCAGCTTTCTATAAGCTTTAGTTCTCGAAAAATTTGAATTTTAGCTTGGACCGCATGATTAGGGAAAACTGTAATCGATATTTCTCGAGAGCTAAAGCTTGTAGAGAGCTGAAAATTTATGTTTGTACTTCTACAGGTTTGTAGTATACAACTTATGCGGGAACGGCACAGCATCACTCTGGCAAATGACGAACATTTTCGTTTTTTTGACATTTTGACTGTTCTTGACGAATTTCCGAAGCAGTGTTAATGAATAAAATCGTTCGATTCGAGTGTGTCAGTTTTAATTTGTCTCGAATTTCCATTTCTTTTCCTAGCGGATTGTCAAAATCTTGTCGCACTAGAACAACAGTTTCTGCTCGATCTCACTGATGTTCACAGCTACTTCCTTTCTATACCGTAAAACCGTCTTACCAGTTTTTGAGATGCAATTCTGATTTTTATTTTCTCAATGAAATTAAGTTTATACAGATTTCTAGCTCAAATCACAATTTACGCCTTCCCAAACATCCCGTTGTTTCATGTAAATTTGTAACTTTTCGATATTCTTTTCGATATTTCAACGAATCTCCCTTTTTGTAATTTTGTTAGAAAGAATAAGCCTTTGCTTTCGAACTTATCTTAGAGCTTTTGATAGATTCTGACTGCAGATATACATGGAAGAACCATTTGAAGTTAGTTTTATAGTGAGCTGAGACGTTAATTTTTTTCGTACTTGAGTTTTAGTACCTACTATTTTCGAACGGGAAGAGTCTTTGCTGTTTAGACGTCTCTGTGAAAAAGTTGAATTTCAATTACTGCAGAAAACACTAAAACTAATCAATTTAGGATTTTTTTTAATAATCATAACTTTTCACAAACAAAAAATATATATTTTTCTCAGCTGCAAAGAGTAGGTCAAAGAAATTATGTACGAAGAAATTCAGACTTTCTGCAGCGTTCCAGATCCTTGGCGATCTAGGTCAAAATAATCAAGGCTTATATGGCCTACGTGTTCTATTTCATCTGCAATCAGAAATTATTGCAAACTCTGTAAGATAGTATCAACAAAAAGACTTGATCTTTCTGAAAAAAATTACAGAGAAGCAAATCCGTCAAGATATCTCCAAGTTGAAATTTTTCAAATCAAAATCATAGAACTTTCGGGACAACCTAATGCGTTATGGGGTATTTCATGCCGAAAATTAGCTGCGCCCACATTTTAAAAGAGCAAGTCAAAAAATTGCAAAACTCAGTTGCCAACATGACTTGTAGCAAAGCTTCTCACAAAAGTCGTCAACGGTCACCGCTAGTGCACCCTCAACAATTTTTTAAGCCTAAGACTTTTTGAAGGCAATACTCTTAGCCACTCCTTATTGTGTTGATTCATACTTTCAATTTCTGCCATCTTCTCAACATTCTGTAACGACAAACCTCCAAATTTTTTGAAAAGACCTTGCATGCAACGCCTATCTTTCTCTATATT